TACTAGTCTTTCTGCACACGCCTTGTGGGTGTAAAAGGTTTTTTTAACATAACGGCACGCTACGCATGACATACAGAGTTTTAAGGAAGCTAATAATTTTGAATACACTAAATACCCAGGCCAGATTCCCATATGCAACATATGTCAACATAGCACATTCTATGGAGGAATTACAAAGAACTTTTCCATTGTAAGAACTCAATATAAAATTCATTAAGTGGTTACCACAAATTGATCCTGGACTACATTGTCTCTAAAATTTGATGGTTAAATAGTAACAGTGAAAACTGAAATGCATGAAAACTCATCAACCAAAAGTAGGAAGCACATCGGGGTCCTCATCACTACCATCACGTGCTCGCTTGTGCTCCATTTCCGTAGACATGCCAGGTTCCAGTTTGTTATCATCAGGGGATGTTGGCATCAAATGAAACCTTTCTCATCTGACCAATTGTTGAAACCAAACATTGGACAGAGGGAAGGAGAAAGAGTACTTTAAATAGAATTACCCCACTCTAATTAACACCGAGGCCTTTTGTGATAAAACCCCACACCTGAGTATTGTGTAGGTGGTTAAGTGGGGACAGTATCGGTGTTGTTGGAGTGGGCCCTTGGCCTGTCGACCTGAAAAATTATACATGGTAGTAGAGCTAAGGGATGGGCCTGTATTGCCACGTGCTTGGGTGGGTACCCGTTTGGCCCCGCACGATGGGTGAATCCTGACATGGCTCCACGTAGGCCAAAGATGCCACGTGATTGGGTGGGTCCTCATTTGGCCCCGCGCGATGGTTGAGCCCCGACATGTCTCCACGTGGTTGCCGATGTGCAGGGGAGTGTTGCAACCAATTGTCCCACATCGGACAGAGGGAATGAGAAAGAGTACTTTAAATAGAATTACCCCACTCTAATTAAAATTGAGGCCTTTTGTGATAAAATCTCACACCCGAGGATTGTGGAGGTGGTTAAGTGAGGACAATATCAGTGTTGTTGGAGTGGGCCCTCGGCCCGTTGACCTGAAAAATTCTACACCAACAAAGTACATTACACATTATGTGTCATCATCATGCCTGCAAAAACCTTTTCATTAACACTCATAAACATGAAACAAACTCTAGAAAGTAAAGATTTCAAAAATAGTCAAATGGGTTAAAAAAATTTGAACTTTCAGTCAAATAGTCTACCTTGTCAATTTTTTTTTTTTTTTTTTTTTGCATTACTGAAGGGGGAGATTTTTTTGTTTCTTTTGTCCTTTGCATTGTTTGTTGGAATAAGAGTGTGTGCACCTAATGGAATCTAAGCAGGTTTTGTAACCTGCCTCTGGCCATTCTTTCTGCTGCATCTTTCCTTCAACCTTAAGCCATGGCTGAAGAAGATTCAGTAAATATTGGGGGTGACATCTAGCATACATCTCCTTCAAATTTCTCAGACATCGAGGTTAACACCAATCAACGCTTGTGCTCAGTTCTCTTGAATGAGTTTAATTATCTTCCTTTGTCTCGAGCTGTGTCACTAGCTCTCAGAGGCAAAAGGAAATAGGTTTGTAAATGGAAGTGTGGAAGCTCCAGTCAGCTCGTCTTTTACATAAGGTGCATGCCTTTACAAGGATCAACTTGTCATGTCTTTGCTGCTCAACACCATGGAGAAACATGTTGCTGAGATTTTTAACTACTACAATTCTTCATGTGAGCTTTGGAAAACCTTGCAGGATATGTATGGAAATCAAAACAACTATGCACGTGTTTTTCAACTTAAGAAGGACATTGTCAGTGCCCAGCAAGAAGGGAAAGCATTTGTTCAACATCTTGGAAGCCTCAAGGCCATGTGGAATGAGTTGGATGTTGATCGGATCATATTTATATATATTTTTACTTCAAATTCACTCGTCTTTTCTTAGTTAGTTCCTTATATTTTTGAGCTATTTACGTTATTTTTGTGTTTATAGGATTTGTTATGCAAAGAAAATAAAAATAGAACAAGTGAAATTTTATGTAATAAATTCGTCAAAAGCAAATTTAAATTACAATATTGCCAACCCATTGTGACGCTAAATGATAAACCAATATTTAAACTATATATTTCATCCTTTTATATTTCTTTTCTTGTCTTGTCTAATTTAGTTAAAGCTTTAAGTATTTATGATACTTTTAATTTATTGTGTTTGTAGGAGAAGAAAGTGGAAAGCACTGAGAAATTAAATAGAAGAAGTGGAGAGAAAAGTGTGAGAATATATACGTGGGGGAGAAAGGTTAGACGGGGGGTCTTGGAGCGAGAGAAGGGAGCTGCCCTTTGGGCAGCTCGCAGAGACGCAGGAAGAGGACTGAGAGGAGAGTGCTGCCATTGGGCAGTTTGAGGAAGGGAAGTCAGTGGCGAGGAGGATAGGAGGTCAGCATGAAAATGCAGTTCAGAGTCCAAGCAGCATATCCTTTCTTTCGGTTTAATCTTTCCAAACTCCTATTTTATTTTTGTTTTAATAATGTGTAATTAATTTTATTTTGGCTAGAGGTTAATTCGAAACCATGAATATATTTGTAATATGAATTGATTACCTTCGGTTGTGATTTCATAAGTTGTGATTTCAATTTACTTATCCGTTCGTATAAAAACTGATTTGTGTATGTTGGTTGAGAGTGCACGCTTAATTTACATGCATGAATTTGATGCTAGAATATAAGTGAATTTCACCTAATCGTTATGAACTTATTTTCACAAGTAGTAAAGGTTGCTAGTCACAATCACGTTAAGTAAATTCTTGGCAAGAGTATCATGCTTTTCATAGTTACGAATGCCTCGTCAATGCTTATAGTTTTCACAAAGTTTAATGATCTTTGATTGTATCTCTATTGTGCTTTTCACGTAGGGGACTTTTGAAGAAGAATGTTTTGAATTGTTGTATGCGTTTTTCCGTCCAATTCAATAACTTAAGGAAAACTTGAAGATTAAAAAGTGCTATTCACGGTTAATCTGGAGTATTGAGATTCACAATTTATTGAAAGAACAACTGAAAATCAATTTAGGTTGCATATGTGTCATGTGTGGAGAAGAACCCTCTAGCTAGTCCGTCATTTATCATTTTACCTTAATTTTATGTTTTTATCAATTCTGTAATTTAATTAAGTTTAATTTACTTTTCATCAAAACCAAACACCCATCCATTATTAAATTATATTATTTAGTTAGTTTTCTTTATTGTTAGTCTTTTAATTTAATTTCCGTCCATTTCAGTTCCTAGTGTTTAATTTAATTGTTTTCATTATTTTGAGTCATTTTAAGTGTGTTTCGAGTTATTAGAGTTTTTAGCCTAATTTTGTGTCCTTGAGTCTTATTTAATATTTTTTAAATTAATTTAGAATAGATTAGCAATCCCTCCTAATCCCCGGCCTAGAACGATACCCTACTTACATCTATACTACAATTGTCAAAAAGAGGGTTTAATTTGTGTGTCAAGTAATTTTTCACATCAGATGTATACCTTCCACATACCACAAATCCTACCATTCTCCTAAAACCAGCCGAGGAAGACAAAATCTACCAGCTGTTGGGGAGTTTGAACTCCGAGTATGAGGATCTAAGGAGTCACATCTTGATGAGTCAAGAGCTTCCGACATTCAACAATGTTTGTGCAACTATCCAACAAGAAGAAGCAAGGAAGAAAGTGATGAATGCTGACCACAGCTTGAGATTGACTGAGACTCGTGCATATGTCTCAAACTACAAGACCTCAGAGGCTAAACTGAAGATGTTACTAGTTGCCTTCACAGTGCTATTTATCCAAATTAAAGATGTGTTGGGGGTAGGAAAAAAGAAAATAAAAATCTCAAGGTGTTTGAGAGGTTGTTTTTGTGCAGGGTAGTGGTGTGTTAATTTGAAGGTACTTTGAATAATGCACTCCCTTTTTTATTTATAGTAGCAATTTCCTCGATGAACAAGTTGGAATTTCACTTGGACTAGAATTCCTCAACTTAATCTGATTAGGTCTCGACCAATCCTAACTCCTATAGGATTCTGAACCAAGCTTCTTAATCACTCAAATTCAACCCTTGACCTTTGACATCTTTTCTGATTCGAAGCATCTTTAGCTTCTGAAGAATCCTTATGGTACTAGGATTCAGCCACTTCACCCTTATCTAAGCGAAACCATCTTCTGATAGGATTCGATCGAACTCCACTAGGTCGAACCCAAAGTGGGGATATTCCTGATACTTTTTACTGGACCAAGGACAATCATAGACTCGGCCCAAAGTATTATTTTGGATCCAAACAGTACAGTAATATCAAACTAGCCCTTAATAAAGGTAAAAGGTAGCTCTGAGTTCTAACTCTTTGACTTCCTTTTTGACTTTTAAATGTCCATGCATTTAATAAGGGTAAAAGATAATTTTGACCTTGACTTCTTCCTATGCATTTATTTTACTCTGACGTCCTATGTGTTTAATATGTGTTTTTTTACTCCTGACTTCCTACATGTTTCTTTTATTCCCGACTTCCTATGCTTTTTTTTAACTCTGATTCCTTATGCGTTAATACACTTTTTTTACCCTGAGATTCTATGTGTTTACTAGCACATATAAAATTAAAGTTATAAGGCTCTCAAGTTAGAATTTATATTAAGAACTAAGTGTGTGTGTGTGTGTGTGTGTGTAATCTTCTCAAAGTTTAAGCAAACATATCATAATAAATACAAATTAAGCAAATTTGACATTGAGTTGTGTTATATTTAAATGGTCTTTAAATTTTTTCTAATCAATAATTTGATACTTGGAGCATATTAATTAGCACGAAGATATCATGGTAAACTGTTTAAAAATAAATATATAAAGAGTAATGAGAGCTAAATTAAATTTATAGGTAAGATTTTGTAAACTAAATAATATGGAAATTGATGATTGAATTATTACTTAAGTTTTGATAAATGTGTTCATTCTTATTAATGATACATCATTTAATTTATAAATTTTATCTACAAATTTAATCTTCATAATATTATCGTAATATAAATAAAATATATGGTCGGCTTTCACATGCTTCCATAACGTCGTCAAACGAGTCATAACGTGGATGACCACAATCGCCAACAACCCTGTTTAAATGTCGGCAACGGGTCCTCGTTGGCCGCAGCCACCTTTCTCTTACTTTCTTGGTACTAGTACTAGGGCTGGGCACGAACCCATTTTTGAAGGGACAGGATCGGACCCTAAATTAAAGGAGACGGGGCGGGCTGGGCCGGGCATTACAATTCTGAAAATAGGAACCGGACCTTACCCGGCCCGGTTGAAACGGGCCGGTTCGGTCCGGGTACATGGGTCCTTTTATTTTTTTATTTTTACTGTTTAAAAATGTTTGCTGCACAGATTGCACATATTGCACAGATTGTAGTTTGAAAAAACTGCACCGATTGCAGTTTTTAAATTGCACAGATTTGTGTCCTGCATAACATAAACATATTTTATTAGAAACAGGGAAAAAATGTCAAATTATCTGACAGGTTTCCGTAAGGATTCAAATTTGTGAATAACACATCATTAACATAACCTGAAGTGCAATGACTTAGGTAAGCTAGTGCATCCTATAAATCTAAAAATGGATGAATGCTGATGACGAAATCTAGGAGCACATCCAATAAAGTGTTACAATGATTGAACTATTTAGATTAGTGAAGTTGAATAGATAGTTGTTTACTTCAAAGTTTATTTTTTGTACTAACAGGGATTTAAAAAGGTGACTGGAACTCTTAACTTCCCACACTATGACATATACAAATTTTAAAGACAATATACGAGAGGACCAGTGACATGGAATTAACCAAAACCATGAATAACAAATATAACTCGGTAGCTTTGTTAAAACCACCAAGAGCCTTAGAAAAATGCAAATAGCTAAAGACTCAGAAATGCAATCTGAAAACAGCAATACAGAGTCTACAGACACGACAGCCAAATACCAATCTATTTCATGGAAGAAAAAAAGAAAAGAGAGATAACATTTCTTGTGTTTTTCCCCATGGTAAATGTAAGTCTAAACTAAATCACTTATTTTCAATTTAAAGAAGACCAATGCTGGCACCTATATTGTTAGCCAATCACCTTTACCAAGCTATGTAGTTAGTATGTTCCTCCTTAGTCCATGGAGTGCCTACAAGGAAAAAAAGGGAAAACAAAATCAGTTAAGACAAAAGGGAAAACATAATTTAACTTCTTAAATACGATCCTTGTGTTATACAAATCATCTTCATACATAAAAGAACAGAAGAATGGTAAATAAAAAACCGTATGATGAACACTGCCAAAACCAAACTAACTACCCATAAGTAGCTACGCCTAACCAAAGCATTTTGGTGCTGTCTTTTGGTAAATTTGCAAAACACTGCAAAAGATTTGCTAAATGTTTAGCTAAATCTAGTTGGTTTTGTATAAAATCTCTTCTGTTAAAACTGTTTAGCTAAATCAATCAGAACATAGCAGTATTTAAAAGCAAGTAGTAGAAGTCTTTAAACATTTTTTGAGATACATAAAGATCTGTATAATCCTCTTATCCAATGGTTAGTTAGCGGCTTGAGATTGATGGACGCTATCCCAAAACACGTATTGAGTCATGTTGGAACAAGCTCCGACTGAGTTTGTATTGCACAGCAGTGACGTTGTCTCTATCTACGATTCCCGTTCCACAGCAACCTCTTCTTGCTTCGGCAAATCCCTAAAATCCCTAAAATCCCTACACCAGAAATTCACATTAATAATAAAACCTAATTCAAAATTACCTAAATTTTAGTAGCAGTAGGTGGTCGCGACGGCGGTGGTGATGGGGTGATGATGGTGGTCGCGACGGCGGAGATGGTGCCGTTGTGTTGGCCGCGATAGCACTGTGAGAGTCTGAGAGTTGGAGCTTGATGGTGGTGATGGGGTGAGTGATGGTGGTCGCGACAGCGGAGTTGATGGTGCTGTTGTGTTGGTCCCGACGACGGTGAGCACTGTGAGAGTAAGTGTGTGAGTGAGACTGAGAGAGTATGAGAGTTGAAGTCTAGGGAAGGAAGGGAAAGGGAGAGGGAGTCGAGGGAGAGTCTGAGAATCTGAGAGACTGAAGTCTGAGAGGGTGCTTCTTGAACTCGAGAGGTGGAATTAGCTAGGTTGAAACTGACGGTTGAGATTGGATGGAGAGATGTATCTTAAATCTCGTCCGTCCATTGTATCACACACGGGCCGGTCCGAGTACCCGCGGTTCCTACACTTTTGGAACCGACCTGAATTGAATACTTCAATTACCTAGCCCGACCCGCCCCGATCTATTTTTACAAAATTAAGAACCGGCCCGTACCCGTCCCGAACCGCCATTACTCGTCCCGACCCGTGGTTCCTATACCCGTTTGCCCACCCCTAACTAGTACCACTAAAACATGCAGTACAAACAACAGAGAAGAAGAATCCAAATTTAAAATACCCTAACTGCCCCTAGTTCACACTCACTACTATCTATGTCATTGTCACTATTCTATTCATTATTTCCTACCATCTCCTCCTCCTCCATCTCTTCGTGTCGCTTTTTGGCACTTATGAGGCCTTTTGGTTTCGAACATTCCCACGAATTTCTCTATGGTCAGATCTCGGTGTCCCCGCTTGGCTACCTCCGAGTTCTACTAGATCTTCATTTTTTGTATTGTCGGTGAGATCACAGATCGGCAAGCTTTCAGCTGGCTAGGGTTTCCATGCTCATTGATGAGGTATTGTTTGCATTCCACTTTTTACTTTCTCTTTTGCTGCTGAGAAAACAAGCACTGAGTAGTAAAATTTTATGAAAATATGATTTTACTTCCTGAAATTTAATTTTTTGTAACTAAAACTCTACATAACTATTTTTTTCCTAACTAAAACTCAGTGACTAGGTTCTAACAAGTGGTTAGTACAACAATCTAATGGTATTTCTCTTCATTTTGAATGAGCGATTTTAAGTTTCATTCTCATCAAAAGTGAATTTCAACCACATTATTACTAGTCTGTTGTTTTGCTAAGACCACCTGTAAATAATATTGTTTGTTAAAAAAAAACTTAGTGACTAAACTCTCCCTAAGCAAATTTTTTAATAAAGTTTTACTTCACACATTTTATAGTTTTTGGATGCCCATAATATCACCAATTATTTATTTGTCACCTACAATTAATTGTGTGCATAGTATATGAATTAAGGACATAATGTTTTTTTTGTATCATTTAAGGAGGAGACAAAAGTTCAAACCCCAACAAGCTAAACCTCAAAACAATCAAACCAAAATTTATAAATTCTAGCCATGCCCCCAATAGACTTGTTACTTAGCCAAGCCAAAACTACAAACTAACATCATCTATAATAATTTATTTATGTGCACTTCTGCACGATCAGTTTCACAATTCATGCACTTCTACAAATACCCTAGATATGTAACAACAACAACAACAAAGCATTTTCCCACTAAATGGGATCGGCTATATAAATCCTAGAACGTCATTGCACTCGGTTCTGTGTCACGTCATCTGTTAGATCCAAGTACTCTAAATCTTTTCTTAGAGTCTCTTCCAAAGTTCTTTTAGGTTTTCCTCTACCTCTTCGGTCCTGAACCTCTGTCCTGTAATCGCATCTTCTAACTGGAGTGTCAATAGGCTTTCGTTTCACATGTCCAAATTTTCTCTCATATTTCTTTCAATTTTGGCTACTCCTACTTTACCTCGGATATCCTTATTCCTAATCTTATTATTTTTTGTGTGCCCACACATCTAACAAAACATTCTCATCTCCGCTACACCCATTTTATGTACGTGTTGATGCTTCACCGCCCAACATTCCGTGCCATAAAGTATTGTTGGCCTTATTGTCATCCTATAATTTTTTTTCTTGAGCTTCAGTGGTGTACGACGGTCACACAACATTTGAGCCTTCATTTGCATTGAACTTTCACTCCATATACTTTGTCTTTGACCGACTTAGGTGAAAATCTTTAGATTCTAACACTTCTCTCCAAAGGTTAAGCTTCACATTTACTCATTCTTGAGTTTCATCTATCAACACTATATCGTCTGCGAAAAACATATATCAAGGACTATCGTCTTGAATATGTCCCATTAACTCATCCATTACCAATGCAAAAAGGTAAGGACTTAAAGATGAGCCTTGATGTAACCTTACAGTTATGGGGAAGCTTTCGGTTTGTCCTTCATGAGTTCGTACAACAGTCCTTGCTCTGTCGTACATATCCTTTATAACTTGGATATATGCTACACGTACTCCTTTCTTCTCTAAAATCCTCCAAAGAATGTCTCTTGGGATCCTATCATACGCTTTTTCCAAATCTATAAAGACCATGTGCGAATCCTTTTTCATATCTCTATATCTCTCCATCAATGTTCGTAAGAGATAGATTGCCTCCATGATTGAGCGCCCTGACATGAACCTAAATTGGTTGTCCGACACCCATGTCTCTTGCCTCAGTCTATGCTCAATTACTCTCTCCCAGACCTTCATTGTATGACTGATTAACTTAATACCCTTATAGTTCATGCAATTTTGTACGTCGCCCTTATTCGTATAGATAGGCACCAAAGTGCTCTTTCGCCACTCATTTGGCATCTTCTTTGATTTCAAATCCTATTGAAAACATCTGTGAGCCATGCTATACCCATCTCTCCCAAGACTTTCCATACTTCCAACGGTATATCATCTGGGCCCACTACTTTTCTATGCTTCATCTTTTTCAAAGTTACAACCACTTATTCCTTTCAAAGCTTAACCTTAGATATGTAAAAAGAATTAAAATCTCTCAAAATACCAATTTAATACACCCCGTCGAGTGACAGCGAACAATTTCATATATTCTCGAATGGTGGTTCGAACTTAACTCGAATGTTAAGGAGACTGAACTTAGTAACGATATTCGATGTGTGGTTGTTTAGAATAGCTTTGAAGATAATTTCTGTTGTTGTATTAGTGTACTCCGCTGTTTAACGGAATCTGCATATTTTGTCTATCTTGGTTGTTTTTCGAGGCAATCAAACTGATGAATGCTTAGAACTGCAGGATCAATTTTAGAAGCATAATATGACATGCATAATATGACATGCTAATATGACATGCTATTTTGTTTCTTTGATGATAAAATAGACATCAAATGATTTTAATCGAAATTGATGTCGGGTAATTGGCTTTGAGTTCGGACTATACAATGTATTTTGGTTTCATTTTTCTAAATAAATTTTTGGCATTGCGTCTGTTCTCAATCTAATGCTGTATATTATTTGGTCTTCTTAAGGTGGGTTGCTTTCTGCTCATCCTCAGGGAAGACACAATGAATTAGAACTTGGAGTACGTATCTAACTTCGTGGATAAACAGATATCAGATCTCTTCGTGAAATTAGCACCCCTTCAAGTATTATGTCGCATCATTTCTCTATAACACTTGATGTAACACTTGAAGGGGATGCTGGGTCTATTTAGATGCTGAATATTCGCGTATGTGATTGCTGTTTTGATGGGATAGTGATTTAGTAGGGTCTTGACGGATTGCTGGATGAAGTTGATGAAGTGGACTATATACATGCAATAAATGGTCTTGCCAGCCCTTGCGATGATTATCTTCTAGGTGAAATTTTTTGTAAATTGTCTCATCATAATAACATTTATGGTCTGCTTTCTCTTTGCTTTTGTTTTCTAATGCTTTATTTCTTTCCCGAGTGCAGATATTGGATTCATGGGACAAGCTTCTGAACCGGGTTTTGGTTCTTGTGAAGGATCACGTAAAACAAACTCAAGTTCTGCAAGTCAGTCTCCAGGATTAAGTGGTAGTAGTAACAGTACTGTTGGGATATCTGAATCGTCAACTGTGACTATTCAAGAATTTGAATGCAAGAATAATTCTATTGACAAGGCAGTAACTCATGGGTTCCATGGAAACTTCAGGCAGAAAAAAAGACGTCGAACACCGGTCGCCTATCCTGCTTCAATCATTTTACAAAATCTTGATGAGTTAGATATTGATGAAAAACCTTCAGTAAGTGGAATGGTGTCTGCTGCTTTTCTTAAGGAGAAAAGACCACTTAAGCCTACTCGAAGATACATTGAGGAATTTTCGGACAAGATGTCAAAAGATTCCAAGGGGAGGGAAGATTGTTCTGCTGTTACTGCTGTAGAGAGTCGACGCTCGAAGGTCAGATCACAAAATAAACATCATCATCTGAGGCCTAGGACATTGGCATTAGTAACCGGGGATGATTTAATTTCTGAAAACCAGACACTGGCTGAATTCAGGAAGCAAAGAGCACGTCGAAAGAAGTATGCATCAATTTCGGTAGGAAAATGTTCAACGCTGCACATATTTATTAGTAGGGACATTTTGGATGCGGTCTCTAGCTATCAATATTCTTTGATTGAAACTTTGTTAGTTTTTAGTTTTTGATTGAGGTCCCTGACATTAATATAATAATGTAAGTTACTATATTTTTAAATTAAAAATTAAAAATTGAAATTTGTAATTGTTTATATTAATGAGATTTTAAATAAAACCCATAATTTATGGGATTAAAAATAATAAAATATAAATTATACTCTCTATTATATTGTGTGTGTGTATACATATATGTATGGGTAACCAAAATTAACAAAAAAATGTATTGTACCAAAACATGGATACATTCTCAAATCAACGAAAAAGAATGTACCCATATAAGTTTAAACATGGATTAAAAAATTTGAATGGATTTTATATTAAAAAATGGGTACATTTTACATATAACAAATTGATATATTTGAGAATGGGTACATTTAAGATTTAAAAAATTGAAAAATTATATGAATGGGTACATTTAACATTAAAAAATTGAGAATCTTTTTATATATAAAAAAAAAAACTAATAGGTACAAACTTAATTTAATTTAATTTATTATTATTTTGGAAATGTTTGAATTGAAAATTAATTAGAAGTTTAATAGAGGTGTGAGTATTAAACCCTAAATTAATTACTAATTTTTATATTAAAAATTATATAATAAACATGTAAATTCATTATCACATTAATGATAGGGACTTGAATCAAAATTTGAGAACTAATAAGGTCTTAGTCAATGAACAGTAAGAACTAGGGACTGGATACTAATTTTTCCTTATTAGTATTATTACATTAAATTTGAAATTTTTAGAAGAAAATTCTCCCAACTTCTTTGTCCTATGTCTTTCTAGTCTAGTTGTATGGTTGTTTCTCTTTCCATGTTTGCTTTAATTTGTCTTAACAGTTATCAGTAATTTCAGAAACAGTGAAATTTAACTATGACCGTCTGCAGATTGCTATACATTTTCATGTAGAACTGGACTGTTGGTCTACTATTCCTTTGTGCCTGCTAAATAGCGTTGAATTTGATGTGAGCGTGTTGCTTTAGCTTTAAAATCTATTGAATCCATGGCTACTGCTATCCTGCATTATGCCTAGCCAAAGAAAACTAGCACTCTAAATGTATCAGGAGTTGTAAATCTATCCTGACATTATGTCTCTCATTTCTTAACTTTGTGTTTTGCTGGCGTGCTTCCGGGCAGTTGTGATGTTTATTGACTGGAAAGAAAGAAAAAAATATAGAAATCAGAATGAATTTGTGTTTTTTCTTTGAACAACTAAGATTATCAATAGTGTTGTGAAATTTTCTTTTAGGTCATGTAACGCCACAGTTTCAGAAGTTCAGTTGTCTTTGTTATTCTGCACAGATGCTTGAGTGCGATGAATCTGACGAGTCATATGAGTCCAATGAGCAACTTTTGACATCTGAATCTGAAGATGACTATGTGTCAAGAAAAAGATCGACAAAGCACGATTGAAGGAAGCATCAAAGGATGTGGACTGCCTCTGAGGTGACGACATTGGTTGATAGTATTTCTCAATACGGAGTTGGGCAATGGACAGATATAAAAAGGCTCCTATTTGCATCTTCTCCTTATTGCACACCACTAGATCTCAGGGTACATCACAGCTTTCCAATAATGGGAATAATATGCTCTCCATTTGCACAGAAAATGGAGAGGACCAGTTACCCAAAGCGCAGGCCCCCCTAAATTGGGGTAGGCTCCGTGAAGGCGTCATGCGCAATTTACAGTCCAGATTTCTACTAGCTTTCTCCATTTTGTGTTCTACAGGATAGGAGTTGAATTTCAGTTGAACAGTTGCCTTTGCATTTTAACTTCTAACTTCACTACTTGTGCACGCTGCAGGACAAATGGAGAAATATTTTAAGGAGCTGTGGAAAGGAACTGAAGAACGAGGCTAGACTTTTATCTGTTTGTACTTTTACATATTAGGATACAGAAAGTGTCATGTAACCTAAACTTGTCTAGGTGTCGTTTGGCTACAACAGGTTGAACAAAAGGAGATGAGTGCTTTACCAAAGTCGTTGGTGCCCCGTGTTTGTGGGACTTGGATTGTCTGCCCTCCAATTTTGGTGCCCTCCCCATACCTTTTTATTTTTGTGGTCACGGTTAAGCCACGTCAATATTTTATATTACTATTTCTTTTTGTTTTATTATTTTTATAAAAAAATAATATAAAATATTGACGTGGCTTAACCGTGACCACACAAAACAGGAGGGCACGGGTAGGGCACCGAAATGGGAGGGCAGACAATCCAAGTCCGTGTTTGTGAGCTGGCCACTGTCCATCCGTATCCCAGGCAGCGCGGAAAATTTTTTGCTCCTCCCATACTTCCAATTGCCAGTAAAGTGCTTCATCTGACCACATCAGAAGGTATGTACGACGGAAGAAGAACCGATTTTGAAGTTCAATATCACTGGTGCAGTAAATCAGTATTCACTAGTCAGGCTCTCTGCAACAGTTGAGCAAAATTTTCTATTGTAAGCAAGAGCTTTGTATTTGACGTTTTCACACTCCCGTTTACTTTTGTAGACATTTGCTTCGGATAATTTGAAAACTTCGATCCATGCTGCTTGTGCTAGAAAATTATTAATGTCTGCATTTTGCGGGTTTGATCAGGTGTTAGGTTTTTCTGCTCTAAATTTTGGAACAAAAACAAAATAAAAAGATCGTCTGCATGAAATTCGGAATTGAACACATATTTCTACCGAAACACCATGTATAGAGTCTACATTATGTTAGTTGTTAAGGTCTAAACTGATTTATTTGGCTTTAATTAACATCTTGTTCATGTGGCAATTGTTAGTTAAATATCAAGGGCTGAGATTGTTTCTTTAGTCTTAGGCTCAGATGTGAGCATGTGGCAAGGTCTCATAGGAATTTTGAATTGTATGGTTGGATGAGCTCGTAGGCTCTCCTATATTCTCTCTAGCTTGACGGCTATTTTGTACTGGAGTGAATGAATGAAATGAGAAGCACCCAGAGCATGACTTGTGCCCTTTGATCTTTGGATTTTCACTACCATCGTTTTCTTCTTTTCTTCTGAGCTCATCAAAATCATCATCAAATTATATACAAAATATCAGATTCTAACATGGTATTGAGAGCTTAGTTTGAGTCTGCGATGGGCGTCGATTTTTGTGAAAAATTGAGAGAAATCCAACGAGAAAACTCTCGGATTTGAAGTGATTCAGTTTGAAATGGTTGGATCTAGAGGTGGTGAGCTGCGAGCTCCCATATTTGATGGCTCTGAGTTCGAATTGTAGAAAGTCAGGATGACCACAATCTTCAAATCGTATGGGATATCGAAGCTTGTTGACAAAGGCATTTCAGAATCATAGAAGAAGGTGCAGGCTAAAGCTGCGAAGGAGGATGACTCTTCATTCAGTGATGATGATGGACTCGATGAAGAACCGGATTCCTTTCTGGAAGAGCAACTCATGAAGGACGCCAAAGCTCTCAGCATCATTTAAAGTGTTGTGTCGAAGGAGATCATCCCTCGCATGGTACATCAGGAAACATCCAAGGGAGCCTAGGATTTGCTTCAGGAGGAATTTAGAGGTGATGGACAAGCAAGGTCTGTCAAACTCCAAAACTTACGCCATGAATTTGAATATATGAGGGTGGAAAACAAATTCTTAATTAAATCAAGTGAAATCGTATGGTGATATTTTGTCTCATCAGGGACAAGTGCAAAAAGTACTAATCAGTTTATCCAAAGTATATGATCCAATTAGTGTTGTGATTGAGAAAACCTCAGATTTGAATACTATTACAGTGCAAGAAGTTGTAGGATCTCTTAAGAGTTATGAGCAGAGGTTAAATAGACATGTGGAAGATTCTTTGGGTGCTGAGAGAGCATTTGCCAGCATGAGTGTAAATTCTGGTGCTTAGAATAAATCTTAAGCACAGGGAGGTTCTAGCAAAAGCTAAGAACAATTGGAAATCTAAGCCTAAGAATTGGGAAAACAAACCGCTGCAAGCTGAGAGGCAAGGTGAGAGCACAAATATGGGCAAACAGAAATGCAAGTTATGTGATAAAGCTCATTATGGAGAATGTTGGTTCAAAGAGAAAATCAAGTTTCATAACTGCAACAAGTTTGGACGTATGATGAGGGATTGTCACCAACCAAAGAAGACTCCGGTAGTCAACTATGCAAATCAAGTTCAGGACACTGCCATGATTTTCTATGTTTGTCATAAAGCTGCAAGTGAATCATGGGATTTGGTTTCTAGATAGTGGTTGTAGCAACCACATGACTATGTTAAAGAATATAGTATTTCACCAAAAGTCCATGCATATCAAGAGAAAGTTTCATTTTATCCGAGATGCAATTCAAGAAGGAATCATTGATTTGCAATACTACAAATGTGAGGAGTTGCTTGCTGATATCTTCACCAAACCATTGCCAGAGGACAGGTTCGGTTGCTTGAGGAGAAATCAGTTGAGACTTTTGAACGGAGTGTTAGTTGTTAAGGTCTAAGCTAATTTATTTAGCTTTAATTAACATCTTTTTGATGTGGCAATTGTTTGTTAAAGATCTAGGGCTGAGATTGTTTCTTTAGTCTTAGGCTCAGATGTAAGCGTGTAAAACGGTCTCACAGGACTTTGTAAATGTATGGTTGGATGAGCTCGCTCCCCTATATTTTCTCTAGCCTAACGGCTATTTTGAACTGGAGTACATGAATGAAATGAGAAGCACCGAGAGCATGACTTGTGCTATGTGATCTTTGGATTTTCACTATCATCGTTTTCTTCTTTTCTTCTGAGCTCAACAAAATCATCATCAAATTATACACAAAATACCAGATTCTAACACACTAGATGTTGTATATCATGCCGTATAGAATTTTTAAGAAATTAGAATGAGACCCGGCACTTGCATTCTCATTTTTTGTAAGTAAACATTTCATATTTGTTTATCCACTTTTGTTACATTGGAGAGAATCAAACACATATTCGACTATAAAACTGTAAAACCCGATTTATTTCGGCCTACATAATCGCAAGTCTATTCATACTACTGAAATTCCATGTCTAGAGACTACACTAGATGTTGTATATCAAACCTTACATAAAGTACTAACTCCACTTCAACTTATAACAAGTGATCATACATTTAGTATTCACATATAGATATTACCCTCCTCCGGCAGGACTCGTGACACCCTCGGTTGTACTAGCGTGCGTTGAGTTCCACATCTACAAAGTTACTAACTCGACGTTGTACTAGCTAGCGTGCGTTGAATCCCACGTCGATGAAGTATTAGGTCGATATTACCCATTTTCTCCATCACTACCATCGCCTCCACTGGGGTTGTTGTAATACTGCCAAGGTATGTTATGGTGGTTGTCGATATTGTGGCCGTTCAAGCAGCTTCTCGGGTACTTAACAATGCTCTTCTCCATGGCTTTTCCGCCTTCTACACGGTGGTGCTGCGGCTGCTCTTGTCCATACATTCCTCCCAACATAACCCTCCTTGGTGCTGCCAAGCAAGAGCTGGTCATCATCATAACAAATAAAAGTGCCACCGCATTCATATTTTATAAGGTAATTATTAACTGCTCGAAGAGAGGATTTATCATAAACTGAGGTATAATTTTGTGGGTTGATGTATGATTAGCTAGCAAAGAGTTTGCTAATTATATAGAGGAAGGGGAAAATGAGTAATTATGGGGTCTCCACTAAATTTGAGACAAGATTTAATGGAATTTCATATTATTCACCTTTAAACAATAAATTTAGTGGAATTTCATATTATTCAATATTGAATAAATTTTTAAAATGTCGATCAGTTGGTGATGGTTGAGATTAGAGAGCAACTTTTCTTGTCCAGATTAGCCGCCCTTCCCACCTTTACAAGTGGAATTATATTATCACCAACACAATTTAAGTAAATCCAGCACAAAAGGATTTTGATGTTTGAGTCACCTTTTCATGTCCATTCAAGGATAGGATATGAAACATGTTTATCGTCATCGTAGCGTTTCGAGTTAATAATATAAAGTCATGTAAATTATGGAGCAAAAAATAATTAAGAAAATTATGAAGGTAAGTATACTTTTAGGTAAAAAAGACAAAATTACCATCAAGGCACACCGGGATTTTCACGCTCATGCAACGGACAATAATGGCTCAATCAAGAAAGAGTCAAGGGTGATCAAAATGGTATTTATTCAAAACCCACTCATCACTTCTCATCAAATCCTCACTCAAAAGGTAACTCTCAATTTTCTTATTGAATAATATCTTGCAATTACACTCACAATTTGACCATATGTGGCCGGCCCCTATTCTCCAAATAGGGTAGGTCACTCCCCTACAAATATCCATGTTTTCCCACTAAAATGCTAAGTCATTCTCTACCCAAAAATTCCCAAACACATTCTATTTCAAATTCTAACTTTGGCATCGGAGATTTTTCTGCCAAAGTCCACCCCATTCATTGTGGGCTTGTAAGGCTTTTGGCCTTAATCTTAGGTATTATTATTTTGCAGGTGCATTTTCGTCAGAGGAGAAGATGACATAAATTTGCATCCACAAATTGGTGCTTTCATTGAGTCTTAATTCACACACTTGAAGAAGATTCTCGCATTAAAAGTTTCTAATTTCTTGTTCATTTGTAGATTTTTCGTACGTTCTTATTCCTAGAATTTTTTATAAAGTTCTTTGAATAAACGTAAAAGAAAAGTACAACTACTAGAAATTTAGAAACCATAATGAATGGAACTTCCTACATTCAAGGATTTGGACCATTACGATCCACGAGGCTCAACGCAACGACGAGTGGAGTGGCACCACCCCTATGGGGCACCACCATGGTAGCCACCACGGTAGCAACCACGACAGCGGCCCTTGGTAAAGCTCAAGCCCACGGTGAAGGCGTCACCTTATAGTCGCAAGCCCAGGCGCTCACGCCACAAAAGAGCCTAGCACGGCCCAACTTAAGTAGGCTCATAACCAAGCAGCTACGATAGGAGAAGCGACCCAACACTCATTGGCCCAATGCCAGTGCAAGCCTAGTGTGTTCTTGAGTCGAGCCAAGGCCCAAAGCCCACGTGCATCGCATGCGGGGCAGCCCACGCCAGCGGCCCGACCTATTAT